CCCAAGCCCCTTCCGGGGCCCTCCGGTCACGGCCCTCCGGCTCGCCGGTGGGCCCACTATCGTACCGCGGTAACCCCCCTCCCCCATCTCCTCCGCCCGGATACACCAGCCTCCGGCGGGGCGGTCTCGGACCCCCCAGGTTATTCCGAGCGGGTCCATACGGCGGCGGCCCCGCCGGCGGCGGGGGTGGAGGCGGTGGCAGGGGCGGCGGGTACGGTGGCGGCCCTCGCGGCCCAAACGTCTGGTGTGGAGCCGCTGGGGCGGCCCCACGACCCTGCAGCCGTTCCAGTGGCGGGGGTGGAAATGGCAGTGTGGGTGGCGGAAACGATGGCGGCACTGGCGGCCGCACCGCTTGGTGCAGAACCTCAGGGGCGGCTCCTCGACCCAGCGGTCGCTCCAGCGGCGGGGGCGGAGGTGGTGGTGGCGGGGGCGGGCCCGATGGCGGCGCCGGCCGCCGCACCTCCTGGGGCGGGGCCTCGCCTCTCCGCCCGCACGCTCGACGCACACGACAGAACCCGGACGACGTGCGTTTTTGCTTCTCTACAAAACACGCACACCCACCCACCCCAGTCAGCGGACCCAGCGCCAACGAGAACAAAGACTTTGGCGAGCCAACGCAGCCGAGAGATAAATTCTCCGCAAGAGAGCCTGCCGCTAGGCGGCTAGCGGAGTCGCGGTGCAGAGCGCGAACTCGCCGTACTGAGCCTAGCGCAGCGCGAACACGCCGTCTGAGCCTAGCGCAGCGCGAACTCGCTCCTGTTCATACCCTAGCCGATCCATTTCGCCGCATATTTACTTTTTTCTCCGGTTGCTGCTCGAATGGCGCGCTCGAGCGCGCCGGTAGAAAGTTGAACGATCTCGAACCGTACCCTGCCTGCCATGTTTCCCATCTCCAACACGTCCTTTCGCTACCAGGCCGAGTCTAGCGGGCTGCATCCAGACAGGTCGCTCTGCCCCTACTGTGGAGCGCGAAAGCGTGGACACGTCTGCCGCTGGGCGTGGC